GCAATTTCTCACTTTTTTTCTAAGTAATAGATTCTAACAACCTCAAATCAACCAATACAAGGGTTTGCGTATAGTTGTTTAGTAAATGATTAAAATACTCTATAAATCATTTTACTTGTTCACAAATAAACAATAAACCGATTAATCTTACTTTTAGCATATCGAAAAGTAAGTGTAAAAGTTTTCTGGTGAGGCAAGCAAAAAAATACACCCAAAGAGACATGATAAACACTCTCATTCAAACTAATTGATCAAACGAATTTTTCAATATTTTCTGTCGCAAACTGCCTCAAGAATTCAAATTGCAGCTTTTACTAACGGTTTAAATAGAACGAGCTGAATTCGAAATTTTGCATGAAATGAGAAATTTACTACTATTTATTCTCTGCATATTTTGTCCCAGTTAAGCAATTTTACTGCAACAGACTAATAATATCTCCAACAGCAAATCAAGTACCGCGTTAAGGTTTTTCAAGACTTTTAAAAATAATAAAATAAAAAAAATTTAAAAATAATGACAAATTTAATAAATGAAGAACTTACGAGCCAGGGCCAAGAGTGTGAGAAGGAATTGGCTTTATCGAAGGCATTCGTCTGGTTTCGAAGATAATCTTTTCCGCATTGTCTTTTAATTCGCTGTCTCCTGAACAGTCTATCTAAAAGGATAGGTAATAAAGTTGACAAATTTATTTGATAAATGGAAAAAGGGGGTCAGAAAAATATTGGCGTTCAACAATCTTATATTGATTATATTAAATTGATAAATTAAATCAACTTTGTCACTATTTATAATTAAAAGAGTTAACTTCAGCATTAAACTATATCTCTTTTTTTCTCATATCGATTTTTCCCCACGGTGTAATTTTTAACCTATTTAATCAGTATGAAAATAGTAATCTAACACGATATACTGTCACTTTGATGCATTTTTCAATAAAATTTCATTTATTTATCATTTTACTTCTCTGTGCTTTTGTAAAAGAAGTAGCTCATTATTAATGAAACAAGTAAACTTCCCAAAAGCTTTGCTCTACATTTTTTTAAAATTTTGGTAACTTACAAGCTATTCCAAGAATTCTTCGTCGTTGTATAACTGACGGTGGTGGTATAAATGGTGGCGGTCGATATCTTGGCGGTGGATACAGTCGCGGAGGATAGGGTTGTGGTGTTGATGGAGGAAACAGTGGAACAGCGCCTCGTTTTGTTCGAGTAATTTTATCGGTAGTCGGCAGTTCTTGAGCCATTTCAGTAACCCGCGGTCTATCACGAGTAGTCTGTTTAGTGGAGGGCCCCTCCCATGATCCACAACCAGCAGTTTGCTTTAGCAGAAATATTAAAAGGACTGCAAAATATAGGAGCCGATAACAATTACTTAGCTTCTCCATCCTAAAATTTACCAAGAGCTCAAAATGTGCGCGTTCTTAAAAATGCCATTGTTTATTCAATTAACCAATTACCTGAAAGAATGGGAGGACCTTGTCCACATTAGCAATAAATAATGACTTCGTGTTCAATTAATGGCAAATCCATCAGGCTATTTCAGAGATAAATGATTGATAAATAAAAATAAAAACACTGCAGAATCGGCCATATGTATCAAAAGTAAAATTTAACTTGAAATAGGCTTCATTTAATTAGGGAAAATTTTATTTTATTTTAGACTTATTTTTATTTGTCACTATAAGTTGTGATAAGAAAATCTCAAATTGAATTAACTCTGAGAAAGCTCTGATAAATGCATAAAAATGTACTGTGGAAAGCTCAATTCTCCTCTATTCATCTTTCCATATGCCAAGATCCAACCAAATGTCCGACTATCTCGAGACATCCTGTTTTTTTCTAACCAAAGAAGTTCTAACAGCCAGTAGAGCTATCTGTCTATCTCCTTTGATAAAGCGGAGCTTCAAAATGTTAGTAAGGTGGCACGTACGGATATTTGTTTAACTGCACTTGAGTCCTGTGGACGTGGTTTAAAATTCTGTAACTGAACTCGAAGTTTCCAAACATTATAAACTTGAAATAATTTTAAATAAAATTTAGTAAATTTTACCTATAAATAATTGAGTCATTTACCGATTTGTTTTTAGCCAAATTTATTGCACTCTTTTTTAAATTTGAAGAGATTAGCATATTTCCGGTTAAATTTCATTTGAATAGGAAGGAATACGGAATTGCTGAAGGAACTTATAGAGTTAGTCTGCAAGACAAATAGGTACATCTGCAAATTTATTTAATAAAGTCAAAACACCAATTGTATGGCACATTAATCGTCGTTATTTCACTTAGAATCCTTCTATAGGTTATGGCATTGAATTCTGTATTGCATTCTGGAACTAGGGTGGGTCCTAGAAACTCCAGAATACTGAGCTCTTTGGCCTTCACTGAAGGGATGCATTCTTCTTATCACAGTTTTTTGCATATTGATATTTTTTATTTTTTTTATTTCAAATGGCAGGCGCTTTCACAGTTATCATTAGTCCTTTAGTTGACTTCAGACTTCACAGAGGGAGAGGAACATCAAAGTGAGAAAAATTCGAGATGAAGAACAGAATAATGATTCACAGATGTATAAGAGACAGACAAAAAGGCAGAGAAAATGTAATGTGAGTACTATGGAATTGATCGAATATGACAAGTAGTCGGATCATGGTAGTTTGAAGTCAGAAGTCAACTGCCGATTAATAGACATTTTTGCGGTATGGGAATAAGTTGCCCCGGGGGCACTACGTATAAAATGGCAATAAGAGAATGTAATCCTGTGCCTTCACGTTATTAGGAATATTTTTTAACCAATTTTTGACCCTTTTAGCTATCTCAAGTTTTTGTTAAATATTCAGTTTTAATTTTCAGGGATTTTTGAACTTACTTCGTATTTTGCCCACATCCCCTTCAAACTGAATCCAAAAATAGTAAGAATAACTTTAAACTGGAAAAAACATTCCAGATGTATATCTGTCCACATCTGGAAATGTGGCATTTCATTTAGATTGGCATAGAATCTTTCGGGCGAGTGCTCAACAAATCTTGCCACCCCACCCCACCCCCTGAAGTCCTAACTGACAAGAAGAGCGATTACTCTTACTGCACTATCTTTTGCTCTGACTCTAAAAAGTTTCCCTTCCCTGCCTAGGACGTCATTAGGAAAATGTTTCGAACTTTAAAATTACCACACCGGAGATTCTTTATAGGACAAAATCACAACAAGTCATGTTATTGCTGTCTGAGGTGCACAGGTACTTAAGAAATTTACCGCCTGATTGACTTTTTCATAAGAGAAGAGGCCAATACTAGATCCCACTTCCAGGAAAAATGGGCTCCCTAAAGTCCGCCGACAATGGCATATTTCCTGCTTCTATCAATTAAATTATGGAATTTTAGCTCACCAGCTGCTCGAAAACTCGCCAAGGAACATTCGTTCATTGCTTGCAATTGCTACACTCAGCGAAGATACGAGAAGCAACTAAATTGTAATGTAAAGGTTAAAAAATGAAAGCAGTCATTGAAAGGTCATGAAACCAAACTCCTTTCAACCTCAATACTCAACAAATCCGCTCGTTTCCCGATTATCGTTGAAGTGTCGAATTCCATGTCATAATGGTAGCCCATTCACGCGTTTTGTTACAAAGTTAATTTATTACTCAACCGTCTACTCTTTTTCTCCAAAATTAGTTATTTAATTGGCTATTTATGGTTGTTGAGTCCTTTAAATTCTCGGTGGAAGTTAATAAATGAAGGATTCAATTAAGCGAAGGTGGTCAATGATTTAAGATTAATATAATAAAATAAAATATTCAATAATATGAAATATAATGCACTTTCATCCATGTGGTCTTTACCAGTGTCGCATTTATATTGTAAATTAGTATAAGTTTTTTAATAGGAAAGATTCATTAATGTCCCTTCAAGGTCATATTATCATTTTGAGACATCTGTGTATTCCGGTTAAAATGGGTATGCGGTAGACTTACCTGCACGCAGTGCACCCTGAGCAACGTATTCTCGTACGGCAAAAAGTCTCTTAACTAGCAGTTGACTTTTCACCTCAACCTACCATGGCCTCATTGTATTTCATATTCCACCAATTCACAGTACTCATCTTACGTTTGTCTCTACCTTTCTGTCTGACTGTCTGCCTCTTACATCTGCGAATCATTCTTTTGTCCCCCCCCTCTCCACCCTTTCTCACTTTGATGTTCCTCCTACCCTCTATGAAGCCCGAAGTCAGCTAAATGGCTAATGATAAGTTTCATAAAGCCCACCATTTGAAATACATACATATTCCTGTTAAAATAATTTCTATATTTTAACCTCGTTTAACAAGCAAATCTAAAACCTCAAATGTAATTTCCATGAATCGTGTTGTTTTTACGATCGAACTTTTCCTTACATATGTATTATATAAAATAAATTCATATTTCAAGACTAATTGTGCAATTCACTGTAAAATTAAAATTAAATAAATATAGAATGATGAAGAGTTAAGTAAGTAAATTGACAAGTAAATTGGAATATTTCGTATTTAATCTCTTTTGTGATGACATTCGAGTTGTTGATTGTCATTGTTTGCGTACTTGTTGCCCCCCCCTTGCCGAATTCATCGGCTTTCCCCCCCCCCCCCACCCCCCTTCAAAATTTTCAAATACACAAAGAAATAGTCATGCTTTCTGACCCATGAAGAAGGCAAATAAATCATGACAATGAATTTTTTCCAGTTCAAACACCAATTGAAGTAAATATAGTACGAATTGCATCACCCTACACAAAATTTGATTTCTGCAAACACCGCTGGACTATTTGTATATACGCTAATTGCTACATTTAAAATTTGCCCGATTAAAAGATTTCACAGCTTTTCTCAAAATGAAAGACAATTTTGTATCTTAGAGGGACTTGCTGTCCACGGAGTTAATCATAAATAAGTTTTGTTTAAATGAGGTCGTATCGTGTTGGTTATGGAGGTGATAAGTTCTCTATATTTTTTGTTTGAAGTATAATCCATACCTAATCAATATAGCTAAGTGATTTATAACTAATGAAAGGCTAATATGGTAGTTACCATTAGCCTTTATTTGACTTCGGGCTTCACAGAGGGGTGAAACATCAAAGTTACAAAGTCGTGGGAGGGGGGACAGAAGAGTGAATCGCAGATGTAAAAGATGCAGATACAGAGGTAGAGAAAAAGGTAAGGTGAGATGGGTACTGTGGAAAAGGTGGAATATGACTTCCAATGGGATCAAG